GTCAAAGGCTTTCTGAAAGTCCAAGTACACTATATCTGCTGGATCACTCATGTCCATATACTTGCTGACACTCTCAAACCATTCCAACAGATTGGGGAGATATGATTTCCCTTGACAAATACCACATTGACTCTTCCAACATACCATGTTCATCTATGTGTCTGATCATTCTGTTCTTTACTATAGTTTCAACCGATTAGCTTGGTATTGAAGTTAGGCTTACCAACCTGTAATTGTCAGGATCGTCTTTGGAGCCTCTTTAAAAAAGAGAAATCAGTATTACAGTAGCTATCCTCCAGTCTCCTGGTACAGAGGCTGATTTAAGTGATAGCTTACACAACGCAAGTAATAGTCCTGCAATTTCATATTGAGGTCTTTCAGAACTCTTAGGGTGAATACCATCCAATACTGGTGACTTCTTATTGTTTAATTTATCAATTTATTCCTAAACTTCTTCTACTGACAGCTCAGTCTGTGACATTTCCTCAGAACTGTCACCTAAAAAGAATGGCTCAGATGTGGGAATCTCCCAGACATCCTCTGCTGTGAAGACTGGTGCAAAGAATTTATTTAGCTTCTCCGCAACAGCCTTGTCTTCCTTGAGTGCTCCTTCAGCTTATAGTGGAAAGGCTGCTTTTGCCTGTACAACTTATTCCAGACTCCACACAAGAGCAAAATAAGTTATACCAACAAAGGTGCAATTCTGCCAGGACATCTATGTCAGTGAGAGATCACAACTCTTCATACCCCTGACCAATTTAGCTGTTCCAGCAAGAGCGTAGTATAGTCCTGACCTATTTTATTGCAGAAGAGGACAAATGTATATAAAAATCAGTAAAGTTTTCAGAGCGTCAGTGCTCTCTAATCCTGACCACTAATCATTCTTCTGGCAAAGAATGACTAAATGAGACTTTGTTCCAAAACAGTCAGTTCTATCCCTTAAAGAAAAAGGCCACTGATTATAAATTGTCTAAATTAGCTATCCAAACTATAACATTTTCAAAACAGTTTACCTGTCATAGATTTGCCATTTACATGCCTGTGAAGGTGGCTGTTTTCGGTTTAATATCAAATAGCACTGAGTCAGCTTTACCATTAGAAAGGACCAGAAATCAAAATTTCAAAGTTTGTTGTAAGACTTTTTAGTTAATCCTTTGAAACCAATTTCTGTTGCTTTCTAGCAGAGAAGCTCAACCTCTATTCTAGTTTTCATAAAATTGTCAAAATGGCAGGTTCTTGTCTGCTCATTAGTGTGTACTATATTTGGCATGTGAAATCAACTCAAAAAAAATCCACTAGGTCATTCTGAATACATCCCCTGACATCTGACATTTTTTAGGGCACAAATAAGGCTCCACCACCCATCTATCTTGGCTGCACTTTGCATGACTGCTATGCTAAGTTCCATAAGTTCTCTCTCTAAGTAGCATCCAGAGGGAGTCTTTCAGTTGGCTCCTTTACCTACAAGATTTATCCTACTCACCATAGGTGCTCAAACGGCACACGTGATTTGGAACGGACATGGGTTGGCCAGAGAGGGTTGAAACTTTGCAGAAGTTCAAGAGATACAATAGCTTTGAGGAATAAGACGAAAATAGAATACAGCAAGGTTTCAGATATAATACTTCCACTTGGGTCTTGCAGTTTCTGAGCAGAAGAGCAATGATTTGTCTAAAAAAAGTCTCTTGTTTTCATCAGTGAAGCTGCATTTAAGGAGCCCAACCAATGAGCAAGCAAACTGTCTTTGCTCTGCTTGGTTTCTGAGTGCCAATCCACAGCAAAGATTCAGGAGCATAGCTGATAGTTCCACCTCTATTTAAGTGTGCAGAGAACATGTAATAGCCATAGAGCTGTTCTATCAGAATGAGTACACCACCGGGTTGCTGAGGTTGTTCACCAGGATTTGAATCTTAGGCAGTTAAGTCACACCTCCATCACTCAAGGTTGTCTGCAGAATCAAGATGACTATAACATTGGACCAAGTTTTCTTCACTATCATAGTGAGACTTTACTTTTTTGAAATCTAATTTCTACAGAAACAACAAAATACCTCTCAAGGGAATCTCACTATAAGCCACAGGTAAACAAATGCTTGAGCAGGATTTGCCTACCTTAGTAATTTACACTTTGTAATTAAAATAGTTCTTTGTACTGGCGTTTTCCTTTAGTACAGGTTGCAAGCCAAGCTTGCCGTTACCATACCCACAGCCCAGGAGCAATGACTTGGAAAGTAACCTCAGTACTAAGCATAAGTGACAATTACTATCATTAGGCTAATTTAAAGTACTTAGATGGTGGAATTAAAGAGGACTAATGATATTTTCCTATTCAGGAGAGCAAAAAAAGACTTTCGCTTTTGGATTTAGAAATTTACATTTTTCTTGCAATCTTAATGGAGTTGTAATTAAGATGTTTTATTGTTTAATTTAAACATCTCCTGTGCAGGATCACTGTTCAGCACAACTCTGGAAACAATGTTTGCTGAGTGAAGCTGATGTTCCAGCAGAGACAGAACACAGTGGTTCCCCCCCCCCCCTTCCAGTTCAAGAAAGTTGTTTGGTTTAAAAGAATTTTCAACTATTATGTGTTGCCTTAGTAGATTCCACATAACTCCTTACCTGCACAGCCACATTCTAGCATTTAAAGAGGAAAAAAAACAACCCCCCTGCAAAACGATCAAACTTTAGCCCTAATCTTATGTGACAATTACTTTAAGTCTCAGAGTGAGTCATTTGAGCGTGTTTTATTTCTGCTTTTATACATTTTGAAGAAAGAGGAAGAGTCTCAGTACTAAGTGTTATTTTCTTAAGCAATAAATCTAGATATTCAGTCTTTTCTAACCACCATTCTAAACTTCCTCGGGTTATTTAGGCACTGCCATGGGTGAAGTTTGATGTGCAATAAATATTTTAGTGTCTTGTGACACTATGGGGCTCTCTTACCCTATTGATATTACGTATTAAGTCCAAGATAAGGACTAGGCAAATAAATATCAGCACTTCTCTGGGAACCGGTGAATCTTTGCAGATCAATGGCCACCCCAAGGAAAACAGCATTTAAAATCTGGTAAATCCCTGTATTCTACTAACCATCATGATTATGCTACTAGAAGATATTCCTAGAATATGCTACTACATTTAACCTGATGTTGTGTTTATAATATTGCTTGTTTACAACATAGTAGCAGTGCCTCACTTAATTTGACACTGCATTTAATAATACAATTTGTTAATCATTTGCCAAAAGCTAGGAGATGAGATCATCATACAAAATTAAATGCAAGGACAATTTCTTAAACCTTGCAAAGCACTCCTACTTTAACCCTTACTATTACATCCCTTTGCTTTGGGTCAGGAAAGGCCATACGCACAAAAGGGAAAATGCCCATAAAATACAGCCTGTAGAGAGCTCCTTGAGACTATTTTGATTAATAATGAAATCTGCAATTAAAAAATGAATTTTCAGTTCTTAAGACAGAAGCAAATATGGCGATGTGCATTTTTATTTAAATAAGTCTATACAATCTAGGTGCCGTTCTCAAGCTTCTGCACGTTCCCAATGTGATCTTGTTCAAAGTTATTCCTGCCATAAGTGTGCACAACCCTGTATAAACATTAATGTCAACACTCCCATGAGGCTGGTAAGTACTATCCCCATTTTACGGATGTGAAAATGGTTGTAGTTTCCATGAGTTTGAAATTCAAGGTCACAAGTTCGCAACAGAACAGTCTTCCCTCATCATCCTGTGCTCATTTGTCCAGATTCTGTACGACTTAATGGGGTTACAGCTTTCTTTAAGAGCCATCACTGAACTGTAATTTGACAGTGAGAAGATCATCAGTGGAGTACAGAATAGATATTAACTCATGTCTAGAAATTAAACTTGAATACTGTGGTCTAATAACTTTGAGCAATGACATCCTGCTCGTGCTATCATGGTCCCAGGCCCACGGGTTTCACTACCTTAGGCAAAAATATAACTCAGACTTTTCTAGCATTACCTACTCCATTAAAGGAAGACAATGTTTAACTGCAGAAGACAGTTAAAAATGGTTAGTTTCTTCCAAGACCCTCAATCCACAAAAAGTTTCAAGGAAGTTACCTTAAGACTATTTACAACCAACGCAATTTCAAAGCCACATGTGGTAGAAAGCAAACTTTTTGAAAAAGCATAATTCATGTATATGAGAATCAAATAAACTTTATTTACGCAATCTCCCTCTTGAGTTGGCTCCTGGAAGCCTGATCAGAGAGGGCCGTGCAGTTATTAATTAGCGATCACATACAGCTTTGCAGCCAGAGATATTTGCAAAGAGAGCAGGCATCGCTACTATCTCAAGGGAGAGGATACAAAAATAAGCTTGTCCGAAGGTTCTTTTCTACCTTAAGTTCCCTGTGTATCACGTGCAGTTTTGAAAATCTTCAGATTACTTCCTACAACCTCCTTCGAGCCTGGAGTCCTTGGGGCAGCTACCGCTTCCGCAGCGGGGAAAAGCGGTCACAGCCCCCTGCCCGCTGGGGTTGCACGGCCGGGAGCCGCTGAAACACGAGGTGACGGTCGCAGGGCTCGACGGGGGCACCGCAGCCCGGCCGCGCGGTCTGACAGCCGAGGGCAGGGCCGCTGCCCGGGGGGGGTCACCAGCCCGCCGCCCCGGGCCGGCTCCCCAGCGCCAGGTGCGCGCTCGCCCCCGCCGGCTGGACTTGCACCCGCTCCCCGCGGGCGGCCCGGCTGCTTTGGAGACGCTTCCGCGGGCCCCACTCGCCTGCCTAGGAGTCCCGAGGCGCCGGGCGCGAGCGCGGCCGGAGCAGCCGGAGGGGGGCGGCTCGGCCGCCCCGCGCGACCCCGCCACGGGAGCGAGGGCAGGGGCGCTCCCCGCCTAAGGGACCCCGCGGAGCCAGGTGCCCTCTCTCAGCGCTGCTGCTTTGGAACCGGGCGCAGGCACCCGGCACTTCCCGCCAACAGGAGCCCGTCCGGGTCGGCCGCCGGCCCCATCCCTCACCATGGTTTCGCCGCTGCCGTGTGAGGTCCGGTCCCGATTCCGCCGCGCTGGAGCCGCCTCAGGAGCCGCGAGACAATAAACCGCCTGAGCGCGAGGAGGGAGCCTGGCCTGCCGCGGCCGCTCCAAGCCAATCAGGCCGCCCCATGCTAGTTTGAACCTCCCGCTCCGACCAATCCCGCCATCGCTTCTTGCCTCCTCGGCTAGCTAGCCCCGCCCCGCGGCCCGTTTAACGGCTGTTTTTCCTTTGCACACGGCACGCAGGGGCGAGGGAAGTGAGGCCGAGGAGGCTCGGCGTGGGAGGGAGGAATGGGAGAGTGACGTGACCAGTGGCCAATAATAGCAGCAAAACGGTCGTCGGAAGGCGGGGCTACACGAATGACTGCTCTCGCAGCCAATGGAAAGAACAGAAAGTTTCCCGCCCATTCTCTCCCCTTCCCCCAACTTGTTTGTTTGCGCTCGGAAAAAATGGAGACTGAAGTTCCGGGCGGAGTCTCCTCCCCGGCCGCCCACGTAGAAGAGCACTACTTACCCCCCGCATACACCCCTCCTCCCCGCAGCGGGGACCGAACCCAATCTCCGCCCTCCGCTGCGCGGGATGGGGCACCCCCCAACTCCCCGCCACGGGCTGGGCCACCCCCTCCCACCCTGCCATCTCCCCCCTCACATCCCCTCCACTGCCACCTGGGGGGCAGCCCCGAACCCCCCCTCCACCCCCCTTCAGTGGGGCATCCACCCAGCCCCCCATACACCCGCAGCTCCAATATTCTCCCCCATCGTCTACAGGGTGGGGAACCTGCAGCCTCAACGGATGTGACCTTCCGCCCCTAAGGGGTGCCGGCCCCACCCCCCAGGCAGAGGCCCCGCCCCCAAGAGGTGCCCGCCCCACCCCCAGGCAGAGGCCCCGCCCCCTAAGAGGTGCCCGCCCCACCCCCAGGCAGAGGCCCCGCCCCTATCACCTCATATGTGAAGCAGCCCCCAAGATGCCTTTCCATCTACACAGGTAGGTTCCCCACCCCAGCACAATTATTACATATTTGCATTACCTGCGCACTCAGGCCTCTCTCAGGCTCTGGGCTCACAGTGCTGGGCTCTGTACATGTCTGAAGAATACACACCTGGTCCGTGCCCTCACTGCGCTTCTCCTTGGGACAGACAAGTGCCATAGGAAGGGTGGGGGCAGAGCAATACAATGACATTTGCACATTTCTGTTTACTATTATTATATAATCATGGTAGCACCATCTAGAGGCCGCAGCTGGAATCAGGCTCCCACTGTGCCAGGTGCTGTACAAACATGGTAAGAGAGAGTTTCTGACCCAGGGAGCTGACAATAAATAAATAAGACTGGGTGGGAGGAGACAGGACTTGTCCAAGGTTAATGGCCCAGTCAGGAGTAGAACACAGATCTCCTAGTGCCTAGTTTGTTGCTCTACTCACTGGATCACACTGTCACCAAGTTTCTTTTCATTAGCTGTGCCACCCTCACCCAGAAGGGGGCGCGCATCTTCTAGTATGTACCCTCTCCCCTAATATGTCCCACTCTTGATGGAGGGTGCCCAAACTCACACACAGGTGGGTCTGCCCAATATGTATCCCTCCATCACACATAAATGGAATAGGGTTGCCAACTTTCTAATTGCACAAAACTGAACACTTTAGCCCCTTCCCCGCCCCTTCCCCGAGGCCCTGCCCTCCGCTCACTACATTCCCCCTCCCTCAGTGGCTCACTCTCCCCCACCCTCACTCACTTTCACTGGGCTGGGGCAGGGGGTTGGGGTGCGGGAGGGGGTGAGGGCTCTGGCTGGGGGTGCAGGCTCTGGGGTGAGGCTGATGGTGAGGGGTTTGGGGTGCACGAGGGAGCTTCAGGCTAGGGGGTGGGGCAGAGGGGTGGATTCAGGGTGTGGGAGGGGGCTCTAGGCTGGGGTGCAGGGGGGAAGGGGTTCATCTGGGGATGCAGGCTCTGGGGTGTGGCTGGGGATGAGGGGTTTGGGGTTTACGAGGGGGCTCTGGGTTTGGGGGGGCTCAGGGCTGGAGCAGGGGGTTGGGGCTCGGGTTGGGGCACAGGCTTACCTCCGGCAGCTCCCAATCAGCGGAACAGCAGGGCTAAGGCAGGCTCCCTGCCTGGCCTGGCTCCACGCTGCACCCCGGAAGCGGCCAGCAGGTCCAGCTCCTAGGCGGGGGGGCCATGGGGCTTTGCGCACTGCTCTCGCCTGCAGGCACCGCTCCCATTGGCCACGGTTCCCGGCCAACGGGAGTGTGAAGCTGGTGTTTGGGGTGGGGGCAGCACATGGGGCCCCGTGCCCCCCCGGCCTAGGAGCTGGACTTGGTGGCTGCTTCCAGGGCACAGTGTGGAGCTAGGACAGGCAGGGACTAGCCTGCCTTAGCTCTGCAACACCGCCAACCGGTCATTTGATGACCCGGTTGGCAGTGCTGACCGGAACTGCCCGGGTTCCTTTTCGACCGGGTGTTCCAGTTGAAAACCAGACACCTGGTCACCTTAAAATGGAAGGCTTTCTACTATGTGCCTCTTCCCCGAACCCCACTGTGACGGGGGTTCCTGGGATGCAACCTGGACTGTGGGACTACTGTGCCCTCCAAACACACCAGCCTGGGCTGTCCCTCACAGTGTGATGCTGATGTCAAGCTACAACCTCTGACAGGCACTGCACTTACCACCCACAGGCAGGGCCACACCCAACTGAGTTACATGAATGGTCTCCCAGCCACTCATGAACCACCAATAAAGAGGCTTCAGCCTCATCCAGTGTTTTTTCACACCCCTGACCAACAAAAGTTTTACGACAAAAGTGCTAGTGTAGACAAAGCTCTCTGGAAAGAGACTTTAGGTCTGAGTGTGCAATATTCCAATTTGCCTGACTTATAGGGGTCTGTTACGAAGTCCCACCTAACTCAGATACACAACCCACAAAGGCTAAAGTCCTACTGCAAAGTGATCTGCCCTGGAACACGTAGTCTGCACTGTCTGGGCCTTGGCAAGCTTGACTGAGTGGTGTGTAACACCAAGAGCTGTTAATGCCAAGGGTGACCCTTGTGAGAACAGGTGATGGGACTGTCTCAGCAAATGGCCCAACTTCTCTATTACAAGAAATCAGCACGACTGCAAATCTCACGCCCTTCAGAACAAAATGTAAGGCAGGGCTTTCCCCACAATAATAAATTCCTGTCTGCGCTGTGCACCCTCTCCTTCTGTCTGGGGAAGAGAGAACCAAAGACCATATAGTAAATTCACTTCTGCCATGATGCCCACAATGTGCCCAGCTGACAACAGCTAGAGGTGTTGAGCCACCCAGACTGTTTCGCTGGGCTGAGGTAAGGTTGTGGTACCATTTCTTTGCCCATCAAGCTCTCCCCACCGCTTTGTTTTCTTTGTCCACCTGCTATGTTCTATTGCAACTAGCTTGTAAGCTCTTTGGGGCAAGGGATTAGTATCTGTACAGTGACTAGCTCAATGCACCATTGGTCACTGACTTGGGTCTTTCGGCATTACCTATTATTAGTGTTAAGATGATAAACTGCGTGTAATTCTCTCAGGTGTCATGGAGGTGGACATGGTATGTGGTAAATGCTAAAACTCCATGAGATAGATCACACTGCTCAAAAAGGACTGCTGCATGCTGGGGCTTGTAGCACGAGGTGGGCCACGCCTTCGGTACTAACGATGGGGGTGGCTGGCTGCAGTGTACTCCAGCTGACGCCATGTAGGTATGGTTCCGGTTCCCTCACCTCTGTCCCGCAGGCGCCAGGAAAGCTGCCAACACAGCACCTTGGCTGGGCAAAGTTTAGAATTGCACATAGGCCACACCTAACTTCTATCGAATGGAGCGAATTACAGCCACCCCCCTTTTTAACTTGGGCTTGGAGGAGGGAAGAATTTGTTTTTAACTTCTGTTGATGAGAACCTTTTATATGAGAACACCTTTCCAGCTGGCACCTCAGTAAGTAAGGGTTAAAGTGTGTACTTTTCCCACGCTTGTGGATGTTGTCCAGGATTCCCACGTGGTACCAGATCAGTCCAGCCCGTGAAATGCACTAGAATGTATCTAAAAATAGTATTTAAAAAAAAAAGCTCTAGTCAGTTGCAAACAAAAACCCCACACGACTGACCCCATGCCCTAACTTCCCAGAGTCAGACATTTTGCCTCTCTTACAGGACCTTTTTGTGTGGGAGAGTGGCATTTTCAGACTCTCAGGCCTGTCACAAAAGTGTCCGTATTTTTGGCATCACTGCACTCTTCAAAGTGACAGATAAACTGGGTCAGGAATAGAGAGGTAGATCCAATCCAGATAAATCGCAAATAATCACGGAGGTTAGGACTGGGAAAGGTCTGTTAAATCATCTAGTCCAGAGGTGGGCAAACTATGGCCTGCGGGCCACATCCGGTTCATGGGACCGTCCTGCCTGGCCTTTGAGCTCCCGGGCTGGGAGGCTCGACCCCGGCCCCTCCCCTGCTGTCCCCCCTCCTCTGCAGCCTCAGCTCGCTGTGCCATGAGCACTCTGGGCGGCGGGACTGCGAGCTCCTGCCAGGCAGCGCAGCGGCGTGGCTGCCAGACATGCTGCTCTAAGCACCATGGTAAGGGGGCAGGAAGCGGGGGGGTTGGATAAGGGGCAGGGGTCCTGGGGTGGCAGTCAGGGGACAGGGAGCAGGGGGTAGTTGGATGGGGCAAAGGTTCTGGCGGGGGTGGTCAGGGGATGGGGAACGGAGGGGTTGGATAGGCGTGGGAGTCCCAGGGGGCCTGTCAGGGGGCGGTGGTGCGGATAGGGGTCAGGGCAGTCAGGGGCAGGGAGCAGGGGTGGTTCGATAGGAGGTGGGGTCCTGGGGGGGTGGTTAGGGGTAGGGGGTCCGGGTGGGGGTGGTCAGGGGACAAGGAGCGGGGGGGGGTTGGATGGGTGGGGGATTCTGAGGGGGGGGCAGTCAGGGGATGGGAAGTGGGAGGCGGCAGATAGGGGGCAGGAGCCAGGCTGTTTGGGGAGGCACAGCCTTCCCTACCCAGCCCTCCATACGGTTTTGGAACCCTGATGTGGCCCTCAGGAAAAAGTTTGCCCACCCCTGGTCTAGTCCGTCACCCTGCAAATGCAGCATCGGTCCGATACTTTTACTGTTTTATCCACTTTTGTTTGAGAACTGGCAGGCAATT